ATCAGTATCTCTGAATCTACAAAGATTATGGGTGTACAGATATGACACTGGGTCACTGGGGACAGGGCTTGAGGTCATATAACACATCCTCTCTTCTTGTCTATTCTCTATTTGTATGCCAAACACCTCGCATATGTATGCCAAATACCTCACATGGAAAGTGGTGACACTCTCTCAGGACTTGTGAGAAACACATTCCCTCCTCTTCATACCTTTGGTTATTGGAACCATCTATCCTTCCTTCTGGGAACACAGCACCTTATTAAATTATCTATTTACAGAATCATTGTGTTGTTAGTGGTTGTTTTTTACTCTTTTGGGGGCTCTGTCACCCAGCTCCTAAATAAATCACACATGGAGGCTTACTCTTAATTATAAATGCCTGCCCTTAGCTTGGCTTGTTTCTAACAAGCTTTTATTAACTTTAGATTATCCCAGCTACCTTTTGCCTCTGGACTTTTTCCTTTTCTTGCCTTTGTAACCTTTTCTTTTCTTCTTACTCTGTGTCTGGCTGTGTAGCTGGGTGGCTGGGTGACTGGCCCCTGAAGTCCTCCTCTCCTTATTCTCTTGCTCCTTCTTTCCCCGTTCCCCAGATTTCTCCTTCTATCTCTTCTCTCCACCTGCCAGCCCCACTTACCCTTCTCATCATTGACTGTTCAGCTCTTTATTAGACCATGATATGTTTTAGACAGGCACAGTAACACAGCTTCACAGAGTTTTAAACAAATGCAACATAAACAACAGTAACACACCTTAAAATAATATTCTATATCATTGTAAAATGCTGCCTCAAACTTTATGTCAGCTATCCTTTTCCTGGTCACTTCTCTCATTGCTCTTACAAAATACCTAACAAGAACAACTTAAAGAAGCCACAGTTTATTTGCACTTGTGGTTGAGAAGACATATAGCTTGTTATGACCAGGAAGGCATGGTAGAGGGAGTGAGCATGAGGTGGGTTGTCACATTGCAGCAGAGCAAATAGAGAATAGACAAGAAGAGAGGATGTGTTATATGACCTCAAGCCCTGTTCCCAATGACCATCCTTTTCCAATGAAGGTTCAACTCTTAAAAGTTCCTCAACTTTTTCAAATCAGTGCCACCAGCTTATACACTAAGTGTTCAAACATGTGATCCTATGCTTCATATTTGAACTATAACACCCTGAGGTTTGGGAATGGCTCAGTGGGTGTGCTTGCCACACATAGGGTCTTTCATTTAAATTGTTTCCTTGATTTTTTTTTTTTTGCTGGATTTGTCTGGCCTCCCCCTTTATTCTTTCTTTGAGAACTTACTCTACAACATTTTTTCTGCTCTTAATCCTTCAGCACTGTTGACATCCTACTTTCTTTCTTCTGCATACATTCTTCATGAGTGAACTTATTTATTACTGATATTTCATTCATCCATTTTCTACCAATGAATTTCAACTCAAAAATGACTATCCTCTTGAATTTCTGACTCAGACATATTTGTGGGTTGGAAAAATAAGCTACTGTATATATGTATTAGAAAAAAGCAATTGGAAAAATGTAGAAGATAGAGCCACCGAAGCATGATTCATCTATTCAGTGAGTGCTCATTGAGTTCCTACTACTTAGAAGGAGAGGGGAAATTCTAGCAGCAAAGAGACAGACACACAAGCAAGCATTGGTTGGAGCTGCAAGAATGGATGATATTGTACAAAACCTAGATGTAGGGATAAGCTAAGGCAAGCAAATCTGACTGTAGGATTCATCAGTATTTAAGAGACACGCAGCACATGCCTCCTGAACCTGATAAACTGAAAAGGGCTCAAATTCAGCATGAAGAAAAAAGAAACTAAACTAAATTCTGCTTAGGTGAACTCTTCCTTTTGATCTTTTGCCAAGCCTCTCAGTTTGTCACGTTGGAGACCTAGAACTCATCAAGCCTCACCATTATCACCTTCATACTCTGTATCCAATTAGTGACTGAGTCTTGCTTTACCTGTTATACAGGCAGAAACTACAGCACTGATGTTTGTTTATTCTTGTGTAAGCTTTTACCCACAGGTGAAATTCATCTCTTTGCTGTCTGGAACAAGATCAAAGGACTGGAGAAATCTGCAATGAGAAATACACATTGATGTGAAAAGTCTTGAGGCTGTGCCAAAATGCAGCTTGTAACTAATTGTTGTTCTGCATCTTCCTGCCAAATGAGAAGTCTTAATCGGAATGGCAGTGAATCAAAAGGTCAAGGGTTGGGAGGACAGTCAATTGGTGTGACAAATTGAAGAAGCTGTGTGTGAAACCACAGATGCACATGTGCCACTTGTAAAGCTAAATGTGTGTTCTGATTACCCATGGAAACAAGAGCCTGATTTTGAAATACTGACCTGGATGAGGTGTTGGTGTGTCTGTGTTCCCTAGCTGGTCCCTCTTCACACATGGTACATGAGAGTCATCATAGAACAGTCTCCACACTGTTACAGGAACAACTTTGTTCTAAAGCCTGGCTTAAAATGCTTTAGTCATCTCCGCTGCCTTTAGCAAGTTAGCAGTTGATAACCTAAAGATTTTGGCAGAGGGTAAAAATGTGCAGGGAGTCTATGAATAGTATTGATTTTGTGTATCTAGTATGATATACATGCATTTACTGAGGCTATTACCTGGTTTCCACCCATCTTTCCCTTCTCTCTGGTTACGCTCTAATCCTTCAACCCCATTCTAACCAAACTCAACTTCTTGCCACCCTCAAATACTTTACACAGACCCTACATGTTTCTCTAACACTTCTGCCTGCTTATGAGACTACTAACCACTCCCTGCTCCTCAGCTTCAACATCAGACACTCTCTGAGGTTTATTTGGGCTGTCTTTGCAGAATTAGACTTCTTTAGCATTCAGATATATTTCCATATATGAACTTTACACACTTCTATTTGTAAATGTCTTTATTGACCAAATTTGGGGCTTCATGACAAGAGAGACCATTGTATTTTCCTCCATCTTCCCCAGTATCTCAGTGTACACTCGAGGAATTAAAAAGCAGCTCCCACATGTTTGCAGATGGAAAAGGCTTGAAATTATATTTAGCTATCTGTAGAGGTAATTTTCTAGCTTCTGAGTGGAGAAGGTCAATCAGCAGAAATAGAACATATTCAAAGGTACTTTATGCCAAAGGCTTTCAAATACAAGGTTGTAATTATGAAGTAGACCATTTTCACTTTCTTTCTTTGTTTTTTTTTTTTTTACAAGTAATTAACATTTCTGTTTGAACCAGAGATGCTAAACTTAATCAGCTTACTAGGCCACAACAATTTAAACGCTAGCTACTTTTTTAAAAAATACAACTACAATTACACATTGACCTTTAGTAATATTCCACTGGCTCTGCAGGGACCTCCTAGCAGGCAACGTGGTCATCTGCTAAAGCTGAGTACTGTTGTCATTGACGTAAGTGCAGAATGAAAGTGGATACTCTTACATGACATAGTAAGAGGGATGGAAATGCTTCACATGTCAGCAGATGCCTTTTGTCAACTGAAATCTTAATTTGGTTTCTCTTTATGCTTAATTTCTAAAATTATTCTTATGTGCAAACCACAAAATTATTGTTAGTATTTAAATATCACATCTAATTGTAGTTGATGAATAAAGCTATAGAGCAAAAATCTATTTTAGTCCAATTTTCACAAAGTTCTAACACTTAGAGACTTAGACTCATATCCTAAATATACAATACACAGTA